CAAGTGTTTCTAGGGAATAATTGCCAAATCCCACTTGTATTATCACTGATGGCCATTTTTACTTTTACTTTTTACATCACATTACCGTATTCGACATTATAAGCGCCCAGGGCGCTCTCAAAATAAGAAATAGGGGGCTCTTATTAGAATATTATTTTGGTGAAAAGCAACAGAGTTGAAAGATCGTAAATTTCGTGGTTTATGTTGACAGCCTGAAATGTTAATATACGAAAGATGTATTTTTTTCCAGAATGTAATGCCCCATCATTAAGGGTGCACATAACACACGTATTACATTGATCAATCGAAAGGGGTGATAATTGGGATTGTTCACTAGCCAATTATTTAGCAAATATCGCCGTGGGCGCTTATTACGTCGAATACGGTATCCCCGGGTAGTAGCCTCTTACGACAAGCATAAGCTACTGAAGATCAATTCCAACCCGGATCTTCATGGGCAACAAAAAAAGGATGATAATTACTTTTAAAACTCTTTATTCATAATAACTACAATAAAAGGCAACAAAAAATCAAAATACCTATGTAATAAACCACTATAAAATAACAAGGGACAGCAGTGTAAAATACCTGGACAAATGAGCTAAAATGTCAAAAACTGTTTTGGCCACATATGAGATTAAAGCATTTGAAAAGCTGCAACAACAAATGCATATCGTCATTAGCTTTAAGCAATACAACTATGGATGAAAACAAGATATGATTAACACTTCCAAATACAATCATCAGTTCTCCGTTTAAGTTTCAACAGTTTGTAATTTCCTCCTCTTTGCCCCAACAGACAAGGTAATGTTGGACTTAATAAATACAGCCTCAAATAATTATCTCCTTAAGTATGTAAACCAATATTTGCCAAAAATATGACAAACATAAAATTTTACGAAAATATACACCAATATATTCTTCTAAAATCATTACAAAATTATTACCTTGAATCTATTCTAGAAACACAACTTGGATATGTAATGGATATTGTGTAAAGTTATATATTTGTCAGTTATAAAAGTCATGCACACATACAAAGTAAATGTCTAATTTCTTGCATAAAACATTTTTCTGTGAAACATGAAAAGGATAGAGAAAAGAATGTGAAGGATTAAACTCTTCAGGTATCATATCTGAGTAAAAGATCTGATTTGAATGGGATAGTTCACAAACTTTGTAGTCAATTCCAGCATTTTGTTAGTTATCCAATCAAATTGTGTCACCTCAAGCTCCTAACAGGGTTAATCCTCAGCTCTGAGGCAGCTTCTCATTCTCTATTTTGAGTACTGATTATTTTGGGTCACCTAAATGTTTGTTAATGATTAAGGATTATTAGTGAAAGTTCTCTAGTCAAACTTGGTCCCTTCATCATCACTGAAGTCAAATACATATGCATGAGACTCCTTTCCATTGTTTTGTTTTGACCTGGTGTTGATAATTCAGGCCATTTCTTCAGTTAATCACAACCTAAGTTGCACAGGGAACCACCAGATAGTAAGAAAGTAAGACAGTTCCCACTTTTAGCACCAACACAAATTCAAATCTTACTAACCCTCTGACCTAACAATGTAACATTAACATGAGTTCAGTTGTTAGTACTTTCCAATTAAGTTTGTATTAAGTTTATCGTCAAGATCAACAAATAGTACTTCCCTTACCACTGACCATTAGACGAACGTGAACTTGGACTCTGTTTTAAACAAACACAGATATATGAGATCATGATACAGTAAGGTTATTACACTGTAGACTATATTATGAGATATCTACTTGCTTTCTAAGCTAATCCTTATGTAGGCTGCCTGGGTGTTAGATTCTTTGAATTACACAATCCAATATGCAAATACATAGTGATGAAATGAGTATTCTTATTTTTCATCCTTTTAATATTCACCTAAACCCTTTCTCAACAAAACTGAAATGTTAAAAAAATTTGGACAGTCATTGCTTATAGTATTCAACTAAGATTAGTTGCCACATTACCGGTATCTCATAAATCTCAAAGAATTTTGATGACAACTATTCAAACACCATTGACACAAAATATTTCATATTGGGTAATACTGATAACATAATATAGTTTGCAATGCATTTCAAAAAAGTCTGTTGGTTTGTTTGCTGTTTAATGTCACACTCAGCAATATTCCATCTATGTGATGGCAGTTTGTAAATTATTGAGTCTGGACCAGACAATCCAGTGATTGACATGAGCATTGACTCGATGACATGAATCAATCAAGTCAGTGAACCTGACCACCTGATCCTGTGAGTCGCCTCTTTTGCCAAGAAATGGTCTTCAGTTACCAAAAGGTTTTTACATATCCAGTATTTGCAGCCAACACACTTCCCAGTATTGCACTTCAATCGCCCTATTGAAAGTAATGATGTAAAATTACCTACAATTTCAATAACTCATGAGGTGTTTGCATTTTGTAACCTTGTTCATTTCTACCTTTCAGAAATCCATACAAGCAGATGTAAGGGGCTTGTCAGATTCTGCATTAACTAACCAAATATGCTGCATATTAAACCCAACATCTACATACTAACTTGTTGACCTTTCATTAACAACTAAGATCACTTGGCAATTGTAAAGTAAGACATCTAGTTCAATGGATATACAATACTAACGTTTCAACAAGCTGGAATAGAGCAAATGACAGGTCATTATCAGGTGTTAAACTAATATTTTTTCATCAACTAAAACAATAATTCAAAATCAAAACATTTGAAGCTTTTGGCAGATAACTCCTGCATTTTAACTCTGGCACTTTAATGGCATAATCAATGATCAAAACTACATAACCATTCACATATTGAAAACAGATGTTGCAAAGTTACTCCGGCAAGTTATTTTCTGTAATACTTGGTATACCGATCAACAAAATTTAGAAATTTTTGTTTGTTTGTTTTGTTTTCCGAGCCCGAGTCAAATTCTGGCAATGAAATAAAACTTTGAATTATCAAATATGTTGCAAGGGAAGTAACTCCTTGGCTCTTCAATAAAGAAACCCTCCAAATTGCCTGTTTCTTCCATTTCATTTCTTGCACCAAACCAATCATAATTAGACCTCCAAAAATATATGTTTTTGCAATTCTGTTTTGAAAACAGATGATTTTGGTTTTTGGAATATACAGGGTATCCATTGACCAAGTAACAGAAAATCACCTGCCTAGTTCCTCTGTTTTGGCACATATACAATAAGCACACTTGTAACTTGGAAATCATTCAACCACTGGCACTTAAACATTTCAACAGCTGTAGAAAATATTCCAGAACTTTCCACCTCTATGAAAGATATACAACACACATATATCAAACATCAGCTGTACTTCAATAAATTCATATCTGCATGTAGATGTTTACAATACAATACGACTGTGGAAATACAAACATTTAAATAACATCAATATTTACTTCATCTGTAATTTAGTGGATCTAACCATATGATGGTGATTCCATTAAGCAAAAAGGACAAGCTACATTGGAGCAAACAATAGCGAGCTTTTGTCCATCTTGACATGGGATGACTTAAACAGGGAATTCTTAAACAGCTAAAATTCCATATTCTGATATTAACCATATGAACTGGTAATTCAATATCCATTGATTGTAAGTAAAGTAATCCTTTGGTCAAAACGTCATCATGTTAATATGAAATATCCAAACTTGCTAAAAACAAACATGTATCCATTTGTTGACATGAGGTAATCAATTACCGTATTTCCTTGATTAAACTCCTCCCAATTCTTTCCGACATTCTTTCCCCCTGGTGTTTAATCACAACTATAGTAATTGAGAGAACTCTGTGCACAAAAATAACCAGGCATTTAATCGATACCCCAGCGTTTATTTGAGGCTTGGCATTTAATAGAGGAAATACGGTACATCGTTTTGGGCGGATTTATGGCAGCAAATATTTCTTAGTTGACTTTCTGAAAAGCATATGGTCAACCAAAGTTTGGGGATGGTTGTCCTTTTCTGTTAATTGGTAATGGGAAGACAAGAACCGTGAAGAACTAGTCAGTGCTGAACAAGCAATACACCGGACAAAACAGTATGTTTTACAATGTCAAGGCCGTATTTAACATTTTTTGACTGGGGGGCAAATAAGATTATTCATTTCTTATTCAAGTTAACTTTCACAAGGAAAAATGTTTTCTTTAAAAAATCCCTCCCTGCCCCCCGGCTGGCTACAGCACTGAATGTTCCAAGCTTATACAGCTTAAACTATCCGTCAACGACTGGACATTCACCTGTTAGGTGTATCAGCTGATTATAAATTCTCAAATTATCAGTCATAAAGTTTGACTAAGCTGCTTAAATATACAAACATATGTAATTGATAAACATTACACTCAGCTGGTTATCATGGTTATAAGAGTTGAAAACAATATCAAGGGGTGTAACTCTGTAATAAGTTAAGTAGCCTATTGCCTTCTTGGACTAAGTTTGCATACACATAAATACTGATAGTAATAGTGTAATGATATTAAAGAAAAGTAATCAAAGACTAAAAGAGTTATTCAGTCAAAGAATCCTGTACTTTGAAACCCCCAAAAGTAATTAAAGAAACCCATCAAAACGTGGAACAAAACATAAGTGATACATCATAATCAATCTCATTAAAACCAGATCTTAGTTCTCGCTACCGCTAAACAAAGATCTGAGGACATCCCATTACGGGTCACGTCAGACCGACCTTGCGCGAACTTTGACCGACCAATGGAATGACGAATCAGAAGGCAGTTTTCTCGTGCTTTACGGCACAAATTTCAAATTCGCGACACCACTTCGAAACATATTTTGACAAATTCTCGATTACAAATTTGAAACCTGAACAAAAAGACATTCTGGAATGGCTAATAGATGGTCTAGATTGTAAAGATTCAGTCGTTAAACCCGTAACTATCGTTCGGAATACCCCATGTTAAAGTTTTCGAGATTGCATGATTAGAAATCACATTCCGACTGTCACTTTCATAATCTGGTAAGCGATGCACTGATTGGTCGGATGAAAGGTCGTTCTGACGTGACCCCTAATGGGATGTCTTCAGATCTTTGTTTAGTGGTAGCGAGAACTAAGGTCTGGTTTAATGAGATTGACATCATAATATGCCTAAATACAGAAGTATATTCTTAAAGTAAACCTCAAACTTTCAATCTACATTTGCTTTCTCCTACAGGCTTTTCAAAGTACTTAATTTCCTTTAACTGTTTCCTTATTTGGTCTACTTAGGGTCAAAATAAAAGAACTGGTTCTCAGGCAATGACTTTTGAAAATATAGTGTGGGCGGTGTTTTTTTGTTTCTTGTTTGTTCAAACTAGTATGTAACCAAATAAACAGTTGTGTACCATCAACCTGGGAATGGGCTTCCTTACATTAACAAGCACATAAACTCTTATTGCTGCCATGACCATAATACGAGATGCGCAGTAAAGCAGTGTACAGGTAAAGGGAAGAAACTACATGCTTTTATTTAGGATTTTATTTTTTTTAAATGGAAGTGAAAACGAAACGTACGCCAGACTTTATGATGATGCGGGCGGTGCCTGAGAACCAAGACTATTATTTTTTTTAGCCTTAGCTTCATCTAAAAATCTTCATATACAGAATCAAGTTTGCCTACAAATTGGATGTTTAAAAGTTAACTGTTAAAAAATGCGAAAGAAATGAACAAAGGCTATAAAAAGAAGTGGAAGGGAACATTTATAAATGTAGACACAACTCTTTTTCGTCAGCTTTGTTCCAATATACCTATGTGTATTCCATCAGTCCTCCATACAAAACAAATACATGTACGCATTGTCATCATAGTAGCATCGTGTAAGCCTTCGATAGACTCAGTGTAAAGCATTCTCTCTATCAAGAACTGGCCTTGTGTTAATAACCGTATAATATTCTTCCAAAATGTGACTCATTAAATATAAGATATTTACGTCTACAAAAAGGACTATCAAAATCTTTCTGTCTTCCAAAACAATTCATGTTGCCATTTAAAAACACAAAACCAGCATCCAGTCAGATTATATCCAAATCCACACCCCCATTGAATAAATTCTGAGGAACAAAATTGTGATAATATACTTCTTACTTATTATTAAATAAGATTAGATACTAGATATTTTTAATTTTTTTATTCCATATATTTTACTTACGTAAGTTCCAGTCAGACTAAAGAAAACTAATTAATATTTTATATTGTAGGAATGCAAAAAAATATTGAAATAGTCCTCATATGGACATCCAAATCAGCACTCTACATTAATTGTAAGTTGTAAAGAAGATATCCTCTAAAAAAATCCCAGCTTAGATACAGTCTTCTGCACCACTTCTTTCACCTACATAAAATGGATGGATTGTTTATGCTGGTGTTCTACTTTGCTGCTACTACTGTGCAAAAACTTCAATTTTGAATGCAGTGTTTGCTAAATCCTGGTTGGGCTGTGAGCAAACATCATTTCTATGGTAATCTTCAAAGCAATCATGACGATGCTACTCTTTTTTTAATAAATGCAAACATCTTTTCCCTGGCTTTTAGTCCCAGATCTTTGAAGTGTCCTGCACAAAAGAAAAACAGTTCCTGTAACAATGTAATTATTTTGCTACTTGCACAATTTAAAACAAATTCTAAATGTTATAAAATCAGAATCATAGGATTACAAAAATGGGCAAAATCATTTTATGTAGATCATATCATGAATAATACAAATATAAAAGGCTCACTACTGAGAGTTGCCTTTGTATTTTCATGCTTATCATTGTGGTTGCACAAAGTGCAGTGAGCTTGCATATTTCTAATATCTGTTATGTGGTTTCATGTGACCAATATTGACCAATCACAAAGTAGACACAGCAGTTATCTGAATAAGACATACCAGGCTTAGAGAAGAACCCATGGAGAGATCCTTTAATCATCAGACTCTCTGCATCAATTCCAGCTTCCTTGATTTTGCGCTTGTAATCTGAAACCAAACAAGGGTATGTGAGGCCAGAAAAGGTATTCAGGTCAAGGCAGGGGCAGGGGTGGGTGGCACTGTTGCCCCAATTGGCTGTGCAGAGTTGCATCCCTTTGTCATACCACATCTTCACGAGGCAAGTGAGTTAACTGACTATAAAAGTACGGTTTCCACCCTTGCCGAACTAGGCTGGTATTATGGAGTTACATTTTGGCTGGGCTAATGAGTCTATGGATAGTCAAATCAAAATCGCGCACCGAAATTGAAATCCGGTTTGTATATGTCGTGGAGATTTCTGTCGATTGCAGGATTTGAAAAGCATGTGCACCACCAACTCGTTGTCAACAGATATTTTCCAAGTCTTTTCATGTTTTTAATCAAGGTGCTCACGTGATTTGATGCACTTCGCTATGTAAGACCCGTTTTATCACGATATAGATCTTGGTTATCGATCAGATCGTTTTGACTGGTCGGCACCATTTTGTTTGAAACAAATGCAAGTGATACGAGAGGTGGAATTTGATTGGTCCATATGAGAGGCTTAGAAGGGACATAACTCGTAGTAACCACTGGTGGCGCTACAGTCAAGCCCAGGAATTACAGCCTAGATCGGCAAGGGTGGAAACTGGACTTTTATTGTCAGTTAATTTCCTTGCCTCGGGAAGATGTCATACCAGAGATCTATGATTGTAGGTTTGATTCCAAGATTCACCCAGGTTCTGTTTCTAGGTTTGTTTCTAAATTGTAGGTAACAAAAATGGTAAATGCATCACTTTCGGTTTCCTCCCACATAAATCTGGCACACTGTGTTACACCAAAGAAACAGTGGTGGTGACTTTATCAGGCACAAATTTAGTTACTATGCAACAGACCAAGGAGTGAATGTTGTTTTATGCTTTGTGAGTCACATTTCACAGGCAGACAATCCACATTTGAGGACCCATGAAGATCCGGGTAGAGAATAGGTCTTCAGCAACCCATGCTTGCTGTAAGAGGTGACTGCTTGTTGTAAGAGGCGACTAACGGGATCGGGTGGTCAGGCTCACTGACTTGGTTGTTGCATGTCATCATATCCCAACTGCATGGACCGATGCTCATGATTTCAATCACTGGAATGTCTGGTTCAGACTTGATTATTAACAGACTGGCGTCATATTGCTGGAATATTGCTGAGTACAGTGTTTGTCAGAAAACAAACAAACAACAATCCGCATTTGAACATACAACATATATAATTGATTCTACATGTGAGTAAATGTTGTTTATGCTGCAGTTGGCTATTATCCAGCCATATCTTGGTAGCAGTAAATACAGTGACCACTTTCCATGCTATTGGAGTATAACGACTTCACAATCACACGTGGGGCAGAACCTGACCACCCCAGTCAGTCAGCTCTTACGCCAACCATGTCTTACTAGGGACACAGTGTCATCCTAAATCTACAGGGTGATACTAAAAGACACATATGAGGGCTGGCTGTCTACATTTCTAAAGTTAACACCTCAGTTGCTCTTTGTGAAATGTTGTTCAAACATGAGCTCTGCAATAACAGATAATAACAGATGGTGAATTGTCTGTCTTGCTCCTTCTTTGATATTTGAAGTTGGCAGAAAGTTAATCTTACTGGGAGTGGACCCCTGGTGTCGGAAACACAACCTGACACCCCTGCTAATGGACTCACCATATGCCTGGTCACGGAGTGGATCGAACTCTGCTAGAAGTAGGAGAGTGGGTGGGAGACATGTGAAGCTCTCACGAAGCAGTGGTGATGCTCGTGGGTTTTCTACCTCTTCTGGAGTTTTCACAAATTTGTCTACAGACCTAAGACAAAAATACAGAACCATTGTTTAATATATAGGAGAAAAATCAGTCTCAAACTGAGAACTTTGAATACCGGATGAAACCAAATCAAATGTCATACTTCCATGTCATGACAAATCTTTTGTTTCAAAATGATGAATTAAATGATACATGCTTAACTAACTGAAAACTAAAGGGTCTTAGCTCAATAAGTTTTTAATATAACTAGCTTTCAGACTGGATAGATTTCAAACAGCTGTATTTTCTATAGATATTAATTCAAATTGATTAACATTTGAAATAGCCTTATTAAGCATATGTCTATTTGTTTAAATTAGAAAGCAAACCTAGTGTGTTTTCAATTTGGAGGTTTTAACACACCTATAAATTTCATGAAAGTGTGAAGTTTCAAATTTGTAAAATGTACAGCTGAAGACCTCTAAATTGAAAACACAATTAACTATGACAACATAAATGTGACACTTCCATAATAGGGGAAGAGATCACCGATACAGCATCAGTTGAGTCTAAAATATTCCATAGGGTGAATGCATGAATACAGGGATAAAAAAAGTTGTGTTCCTCATAATAAAGAAGTTGACATCCATAAATTCTCTTCCTTAGGAAGAAGTCCAAACACTGTAGCATGAAAGAAATGAAGAATACATTCTAGAGTCTCACTAAAGTGTTGACGTTACCAACTTTGACAATACACTAAGTAGTTGTTCATCAGCTTCTGCACCTAACCAATATTGCCACACTTGCTCTAAATAATCGAGGAACTGCACCTCCTTATTTATCAAACATGTTAAAAATTAAGATGAGTATTTGATACTGACTACCAGTCTGGTCTAAAAAAGCAGTGTTTCTATGAAGATGTTTTCTTCATGGTAATGTGGTCATTGGGAAAATTCTAACATGTCTAGATTCGGTACTGCTGGTGGACCAATCAGAATTCAGGATTCCAAAAGCAATGATGGATTAGCCATTTAAGTCATGGGAGAAACCATGAGAATCTGTTTTTTTTACTACCAGAATCATCCCATTCGAGTAATGTCTCCGACTTAAACCATGTCATGGTTGAATACGTGACACTTTCTTATGGATAAAAACGTTATGGTTGATATATCATTTTCCATAATGACAAATAATTGTGTCAGTTTTACTACTTAATATGCCTTATGCACATTCAGAATGGTCAGTGAATTCCCGGTTCAGAATCAACTGAAACTATTGCGTGACGTCATCACAAAAGTATAAATATGCAAGAATACAAAAGAGGTCAACACTCAATATGTTGTCTGCAGCAATCATACTGACCATCTAAGGATGTCAACTGTCAAAATTGGGCCATTTTCAAATTCTGTACAAGATGGCTGCTCACATCTCAGGTCGAGCCACGGGTACACCAGCACCTGACAATGAAACACATCGATGTAGAGCATAGTCCTTACTGGGATATCAAGCATAGCACATTGATGTAGAGCATAGTCCTTACTGGGATATCAAGCATAGCACATCGATGTAGAGCATAGTCCTTAATGGGATATCAAGCATAGCACATCGATGTAGAGCATAGTCCTACTGGGATATCAAGCATAGCACATTGATGTAGAGCATAGTCCTTACTGGGATATCAAGCATAGCACATCGATGTAGAGCATAGTCCTTACTGGGATATCAAGCATAGCACATCGATGTAGAGCATAGTCCTTACTGGGATATCAAGCATAGCACATCGATGTAGAGCATAGTCCTTACTGGGATATCAAGCATAGCACATCGATGTAGAGCATAGTCCTTACTGGGATATCAAGCATAGCACATTGATGTAGAGCATAGTCCTTAATGGGATATCAAGCATAGCACATCAATGTAGAGCATAGTCCTTACTGGGATATCAAGCACAGCACATTGATGTAGAGCATAGTCCTTACTGGGATATCAAGCATAGCACATCGATGTAGAGCATAGTCCTTAATGGGATATCAAGCATAGCACATCGATGTAGAGCATAGTCCTTACTGGGATATCAAGCATAGCACAATGATGTAGAGCATAGTCCTTACTGGGATATCAAGCATAGCACATTGATGTAGAACATATAGTCCTTACTAGTACATGCACATCGATGTAGAACATATAGTCCTTACTAGTACATGCACATCGATGTAGAACATATAGTCCTTACAGGGATATCAAGCATAGCACATCGATGTAGAACATAGTCCTTACTAGTACATGCACATCGATGTAGAACATATAGTCCTTGATAGTACATGCACATCGATATAGAACATATAGTCCTTACTAGTACATGCACATCGATATAGAACATATAGTCCTTACTACATGTACTAGTACATGCACATCGATGTAGAACATAGTCCTTGATAGTACATGCACATCGATATAGAACATATAGTCCTTACTAGTACATGCATATCGATATAGAACATATAGTCCTTGATAGTACATGCACATCGATATAGAACATATAGTCCTTACTAGGACATGCACATCGATGTAGAACATATAGCCCTTACTAGTACATGCATATCGATGTAGAACATATAGTCCTTACTAGTACATGCACATCAATGTAGAACATATAGTCCTTATTAGGACATGCACATCGATGTAGAACATAGTCCTTACTAGTACATGCACATTGATGTAGAACATATAGTCCTTACTAGTACATGCACATCGATGTATAACATATAGTCCTTACTAGTACATGCACATTGATGTAGAACATAGTCCTTACTAGGACATGCACATCGATATAGAACATATAGTCCTTACTAGTACATGCACATTGTTGTAGAACATAGTCCTTACTAGTACATGCACATGGATGTAGAACATAGTCCTTACTAGTACATGCACATCGATGTAGAACATAGTCCTTACTAGTACATGCACATCAATATAGAACATATAGTCCTTACTAGTATATGCACATCGATATAGAACATATAGTCCTTACTAGTACATGCACATTGATATAGAACATAGTTCTTACTAGTACATGCACATCGATGTAGAGCATGGTCAAGCTATATAATGGTGGTGTGCATATTATCGAGTCTGGATCAAACAAACCAGCGATTGATATCATGAGCAACAATATGAATGGAGAATGATGACACACAATCAACCACGTCACCAAGCCTGACAACCAATCTACCTAATTTGCCGCTTACAACAAGAATTGGTTACTTGGACAAATTCAACCCAGCAATCGACCCGCACCTGGAACGCAATCCCCTTCGTCACTTCATGGCACAGGGTAGCAGCTATTGTCCCGCCAGCACTGCAGCCAACCACACCGATCTTGCTGTCATTGGTGCCACCTGGAGGCAAAACGTGGTACTATTAAGGATGGACAATCTCAGAGTCAACCTAAAGAGTCACCTTAATGTGTGCCAAAAAAACCCACAAATCAAAATGCTTTGTTAAACATCTTTATGTTTGTAATTTTGTTTTAAAAAAATTAGGAAGTTCTTTAATAATTCAAACCAAACCTAACCCTTTTCAACATTTCCCTCATTCACTAGTGCTTCTTGTATCTTGAATACTGACAAAGAAAATTAGTAAAAGAAAAATAATCAATCAGGCCAGCCTTAATACATGTTAAGCATCCACCTGCAGAGTTTGACAGTACCTATGAGAGCCTTGTTCATCATCACCCATCGCAGAACATTCTTCCCATCCTCAAAGGCTGCTGGGAACTTGTTTTCTGGGGCCAGTCGATATTCCACGTTCACAACCACACACGGAATGTCTCTGCAAGGTCAAGAGATTTAATCAACCTTAAATGTTCACAATTAAGGGTGGTCCTGGCCCCTTGAGGTTTTCCCAGTCTTATTAGAATCTGGGGAGCCCTTATATTTTCTACGATTAATCGGGGTCATGATAGTGACCTCTTTACTTTCCTGCTCAACAGCACACCCATAAGCATCAACATTAACCAATACATAGACTGTACATGGTATAAAGGTACGGTAATGATGCTGTTTATGGCAACTTTGTATTTAGGCAATCATAGACACAATAAATAGAGAACAGGCCTACAAGAGGTTTGTGATAATATTAAAAAATTGTAGGGTTTACAGATATTGTATTCAAAATCTTCTGGTTGGTAGGTGAAAATTTAAGCAACATTCACTGGCTCACCTACCCATCCTAGTGAACAGATGGTGATGTGGCTTCAAGCAACATTTACTGGCTCACCATCTCACCAACTTATTAACTCTTCTGTCACCCAGCTGCCCCTGAAAGAGAAAGCCATAGCTCCACCCCAAACACTCACCTTGCCAGTACCTGGCAGATTGGCCTGTCCGACTCCTTTGACCTGAACACCATGCCCCCCAAACACTCACCTAGCCAGCACCTGGCAGATTGGCCTGTCTGACTCCTTTGACCCAAACACCATGCCCCCCAAACACTCACCTAGCCAGTACCTGGCAGATTGGCCTGTCCGACTCATTTGACCCAAACACCATGCCCCCCAAACACTCACCTAGCCAGTACCTGGCAGATTGGCCTGTCCGACTCCTTTGACCCGAACACCATGCCCCCTCCATTGAAGTACACCAGGATGATGGGATTGGTGTTGCAGTTTCGTGGTTTGATCACATCAATGGGGATCCCATCTGGAACAGGAACACTCACATGTACACCTGCATTCTGCTGTGGGGATTAGGCAACGCCTGAGTTAATAGATATGCTGATTCTTACTGTACAGGATGTTTAATATTTTTAGTGTAAATTGTACATAAAAGCTTGTATTTATTTCTATCAGAGACGACTTATATAGTTACTGGCATGTGTGTGTGTGTGTGTGTGTGTGTGTGTGTGTGTGTGTGTGTGTGTGTGTGTGTGTGTGTGTGTGTGTGTGTGTTTGTGTGTGTTGGGTGGGTGTAGGTGGGTGTAGGTGGGTGTAGGTGGGTGTGTTGCGGGGGTGGGGAGAGGCTGCTTGTACTCATCTGGACTTATGCCAGTTTTATAGTGCCTACACACTGAGATACCATACTGCAGCTTAACATAAATGCATCACTGAGGCACAGTAGACTCTGAGCTGACACTGAGCCAGATGATCATTTCATTGAAATACGACATGACAGATGGTAGCAGGAGTGAGACGGCATTTCACTCCTGTTGTATACATATATGAGGGATGGCTGCAAAGTTCAGAGCCTAAATAAGTTGGGGTGAAACGATACAGCAAGGTCACGATACGATATTATCGTGATACATAGGTCTCGATACGATACGTATTGCGATATGCATATCTACTTTGAATCATGTGGAAACGATTTGGCTATAAATATTTCAGAGCAGGTTCCAAAGGAAAAGCTAGCTGTAGACATGTTCGTAGCAGCTCTTTTTAGTAGTGAACTTTTTAAAAGCTAATTACAACATATTTTGCAATATTTGACTGACAAAAATGCTGGGGTGGGGGTCATTATATGTGTAGTAAGTAATCTATTTTAGCAAGTGTATCATCTTGTATCGATACAGAAAAAAACGTTTTGTGTATCATATCGTCACATGAAATGTCATGATGCACCAGTACACCAATGTATTGTTTCACCCCTATAAATAAGATGGACGGCATTGATGGAATTGGTTGCTAACTATCCCATCCGAGGTCCACACACTTCTGCCAGCGATGCTGTAGTGCCTACATCCCACAGGTGTAGAAGGCTTCCTCCTGGTGGTGCAACAAAAGTCTTCCACAGCAGAAATGATGTCATCATCATTTGCATAATATTTGCCAGACATTCTCTCTTCTGATGAAATCTGGTGAATACGGAGGATGTTCAATGAGTTCAAAGCCACAGTCACACATTGACTGGCGACAACAAACTTGTGCATATCTGTATTGGCCTGGTTGAACAACACACCATTAGTGAGTTTTCCACAACATTTAGCCTGGATATTCTCGCAGCTGCCAAGGCAGATAAGCATAGCAGTGCTCATGAATGGTCTGACCTTTTGGAAGGTAGTCCACCAGTAGGATTGCTTTGGAACCCCAGAGAACTGAAGCCACCTTGCCAGCTGATTGAACAGACTTTGCCTTCTTCTTTGGGGGCGACATTAGGTGTTTCCACTGCTTTTGCTGTTGTTTTGTCTCTGGCTTATAGTGGTGAACCCAAGACTCATCCATGGTTTCAAACATTTAAAAACGAAATAATTTTCTCACGAGATGTAGACTGGAGCATTTCTGATCTGCAGACAGAAGTTCTGGCATTCAGTGTGTTGAAACCTTTATAATGGCCAAATTATTCCCCAGATGTGCTCAACTCCTTCATGAGAGATGCCTACTGTAAAAGCTATGTGACGTGTAGTGAGTGGTCGTTCATTCATGAAAATATCATTCGACATTTTCCTTAAAGTACTGTTGGAAATGCTAGAAAATGATGACAGTCTGAAACAGACTATAGAAATATGCGTATGTGACTCCGTTATAATGATAATAATGTAAAACATCTAATCCACACACAAAAACAATTTGGAGAAAATTCTAGATATGCATCTTCTAAAATGATAAAATGACATTGCGTTTTTTTTGTCAACATTGCTCCCATAATGCATGTTACATTACACTTGCATAGCCATAACCATGGTACACGATATGGAGTCTGTACTGGGAAATGTAAACAAATTCTTTACACTTTAGAGAGCTAGAGGGAAACCATTTATTTAATTAGGTAGGTTGAATTACCAAACTGCCCAAGCTATGAGGTTTTCAATTCAATTTTGTTATAGATCTAGATCTCTCTACCTGCTTATTCACCTGAAGGGATACGATGTTGTTGTTTTTTAAAGCGCATATTATACTCAATAAATCTTTTTTTACATTATGAATTTTAAATAACTTCTATTCTAATCTTTTTTGAAACTCTGAAATGTGCAACGTAGATCGGGTTAGGTAGGCAAAGCATGTAATCTGTTTTGTTGGTCATCTACCACCTACGACTCGACCTTCGTTACACTGCTGATCATCTATAACGATCATCAATTGTTTGGACCCCGAAGGTAGCAGTGTAACAAGGGATCACTGTACCATCAAGTCTACGGTATGATAAGAAAACAGAACAGGTACATGTATAGGGGTGGTCTCAAAAACAAAACTGGAAAGTAAAAGGATATTAGAGAGCTTTGATACAGGGTGGGGGCAGTTGGGTAGCCTAGTGGTTAAAGCGTTCTTTCGTCACGCCGAAGACCCGGGTTCGATTCCCGACATGGGTACAATGTGTGAAGCCCATTTCTGGTATCCCCCGCCGTGATATTGCTGGAATATTGCTAAAAGTGGCGTAAAACCATATTCACTCACTCACTGATACAGGGTGATTGGGCGTATAGTGTACAAACTTTATGAGCAGAAGGTAACCCTGACTTGCAGTAGAATTTGGGAGGAATTAAAGATACAATTAATGTTTCCCGGAGTGCACTCACTATTGCTCTCCAAGAGATGGGATTTCAATACACTGTGCGTGGCGATGACCGAGCATTTTCAGGGGAAAATATTCCATCCTGTTTATGTGGTCACATTATCTCCGAACAATTCATAACTATCACATCTAGGGCGTCCAGATAATTTACCTTGATGAATCCCCTCCACTGACTACATGTGGCTATCGGCAGATGGACAAAAAGCACCCATAGACCATCACGTTATGGTAATCATGTCATTGTTTTGCACTCTGCAACCCATGATATGGGGCTTATTGATGGATGTGAAAAAGAAAACTGGTGATTTTCATAAGGAAATTACAGGAGGTGATGTGTTCATAGACTGGTTGGAACTTCAGCTATTGCCCATTTTAAACAACGCCAGTGTTATTGTCATGTCAGTTAATAATGTCCGGGAATCAGATACTGTCGCCCAAACAATGAGTAGTCTTAAGGCGACTATACAGGAATATATTACATTGTCGACTTCAGACCATATGAAACGAAAGTTCAACTCATGGAGAAAATTCGGCTGAATAAGAAACCAGTAAAGTACAAGACATATGTGCTGGCGTCACAACACGGTTACGTTGTCTTACGTACGCCAGTCAGACATTGTGAGCACAACCCTGTTGTGCCCATCTTGGCTGAGTGTAACAGGTTCGTAGCATGACATAACACAACATTCAAAAGTACAGATTCATATACGTCATCAGCGGAGATAAATGCTACCTCAAGAAACTACTTCAGGATTCCAAAACCGCAACCTTCCAATACTCATCCTGTTTCATGGCTCTTAACTAGTCCATCATGTTTCCAAGCAAATATACTGCAGTACATATCCTAAATTGCTACCCCATCAACGCATGCCAATTAAGTACAATAACAGCAATATTTTGAGACCACCCCCAACTCGGTGACATTTGCACCTGGGAGAATGCACAGGCCGGTGTAAGGTCATCACCTCGGGACAGGTGTTAGGTAATTACCTCAGGTTATAGGCCATTTCATACATGCATGACAACACATATATTTTCTAAGTTTATCATCATTTTACCTGCAGAAGTACATTTTAAGGGTAATCACAAGGTCAGTTAGGACTGGCTAGATTAGGGCAATTTACGTTATTTTGATATATGCTCTTTTAATAGTCCTATAACTCGTATTTATTTCATGAAGCCCGAAATGCAGTTTTCTAGCATTTCCGACAGTACTGTCATAGCGACTGATTTATGACACCCATTGTCTGAAAGACATTTAATTGCAAAGACTCATTTCCCTGGAGCCATGACATCTATATGCCTTGAAATACTTAATTGCTGTTATTTATAAGATGCTAATCCTAATTGTTAATCCCCCTTTTTGTGTACATCGACCGTCCTGCTGATGAATTACTGTTTATATTTATTACTTACTAAATGTCAGGTGACCTTGGCTATATAAGCCTTGGTCCAGAGAGAAGAAAAGAAAGAAAGAAAGGTCTTACCCTTAGCCTAGCTAGGGTTAGGCTGGGTGCTCCGGGGCACCTAGACAACAACCACTACCACTATGTGCTGACCTGGCACATAGTGTCTTTTGTATGTATACATCTAGATGTATAAAGCAAAACTGTATATACCGCAAGCCATCGTCTCCAAGTTGTCACTTCCTACTGAGAACCATACGGTGGCCCCTTGCATATACGAGTGTGCAAATTATAAATTAATCATCGTCAGACTACGTGGGTTGTTAGTACTTCAGTGGTGGCAGTTGTAGGTCTTTTTGATCTTGGGTTATCTTCCCTTCCTGAACTCCACTGCCCACCTTTTAACAGTGGCAAAGAATATGCATGTACTATAAGTGTCAACCACTGTCAAACATTTTAGCCACAATATGCTCAATATGTATTCAAGACAATGTTTTGCCAATACACAGCCCCATGTCTTATCTCTTTGGACAACATGAAGGTTACTCAACATTATCATCAGCAACAATCACTGAACATGTGAAACAAGATGTACTCCTTTCATCACAAGCTGTTTCTTATACTAATGACCGCCTCCGTGGTAGAGCGTTTGCCCGGAGAGCAGAATGTCTGGGGTTCGATCCCCGGCCTCGTCATACCAAAAGACTTTAAAAGATGGTACTTGTTGTTACCCTGTCTGGTACTCAGCATTAAGGGGCTAAAACAAGGACTGGTCGGCTCGGAGTCCAT